TCTCGTAAGGAATGTATAGATAGTTTACAATCGCATCGGAAGCGAATGTTTGACAAGAAAGATAGGATTGCTTTATCTAAGAGATATGATACGCGAAGGTTAGGGTAGTGAATTGGTTGAGTAGGATTAATTGTATTATGTGCAGATTAGGTATGAATAGGAAAAGGTTGTGTAGGCAGAATCTACTCCATGTGAATAGGATGAAAAAGTTCTATATGAGGGAATTTAATGTGTTTGTTTCTACTAGGTTAATTAATTTTTATATTTATTTTTCATGTGGAATGATATCGACCTTATGAGAAATATTTGGAGAAAAATTGATATTTTCCTGTACATGCAGACTTGGAAGGAAGGGAGGAGAGGATACACCATCAAATAGATAAAATTTACTTTTGTTTTTCTTTTTTAAATTTGATAGATATATTATCCTGTATGTGCGAATAGTTCCTGCTCATCCCTCCAGTTGATCAAGGACTGTCTGCATTCTGGGAAAATATATTTATTTAATTATTAGAAATTCTTCATGTGGTATACCCTCATACCATATATGTCTTGGAATATGTAGTTAGAATGTGTTGTTGACGTTGTATGTGGGTTGGCTTTTGTTTGGTTAAAGATAGCAAGTGAAGCTGATGGAACGTGATAGCTGCAAAATGAGGACTAAGGCAGCTGGGAGATCAATAGTGGTGTAACCCAGTGATCGTCCGATGGATGTTCAAGCCTGTGTCGTCGTTGTAGCAGCATCCGCGTTGGTGATAGCTTAGGTTTAGGGAGTTTAGGGAAATAGTTTTGTAGTGATGTTTAGAATTTTTATTAGGATCGTTCAGCCAGTTTAGGGTCGCTAAAATAAAGTGTTAGGGTTTAGTCAGGTTCCCTAATTAGATAGGATAGCTAACTAGTGAAAATATTTTGATTTGTTTGTTTAGGATGTGATCATGGTCTGTCCTTTTAGATAGGTTTTTGGCAGACCAAAGCCATAGCCTCCTCGGTGGTTTACTTGGTAAGTTGATAGCTTCCGAGCAGTGTGTGGCTAGTCTGTAGTAAAGGCTGATCACTATGTATGTTGCCTATCATAGGTAGAGCACTAGCTAGGGATGTTCACCCCTTCAGCTGTGAGGAAGAGGGATGTAGACGAGGTTGTACTCTATGAGTAGAATTGCTGGCTGAACATAGATAATAATTATAGTTTTTGTATTTGGAACGCTAAGAAAACAAGGAAAGGTCTTGACATACATATTAAGATGGCTGTTTCGTAACCCTAGACATGAAAATGGTAAAATAAACCAAAGTTTAAGTTAATCCCGGTTTTTATATTATTAAAAGTACCTCTCGCAATGCATCTGAGCTACAGCCCTCGATTATAGTACATTATGAAAACGTTACCCTATATTCCAAAATTTGCGTTTCAGTCGGCGTCCTTTGATGTGCCGCCGCTGAGGCAGAGGTGCTATTTTTTAATTTTTTGTAACAGTCTGTAATTGCCGTTTGCGTTGTGAGGACTAAATAGGTGTCATCGTTTTGTTTCTGTCTTGTTTTTGTGTTTATTTAAACTATGTCACGCTTAAGCAATAGTGATTACTAAGAGATGATGTTGTGCGTAGGCGCAGCCGATGGGAGCTTGCGCCAGCCTCGCCAAATTTATTGGGCAAAGTTTATTGATGGCGTCCCAGAAAATCGACGTCGACCATTTCCTGCTGTGGAATGCTTCAGGAAGATGGTTATGAGACTTCATAATAGTGGATCGTTCCGTGGTTCCAGTTCTGAAGGCCGGCCGAGTTCACGAGACCCAGAATTCGAGGCACATGTTTTGGAACATTTTCTCGGCAATCCAAAGACAAGTACTCGTCGTGCTGCGGCAGCCTTTGGTGGTGTGAACCATATGAGTGTGTGGCGTGTGCTACGGGATGATGGCCAGCACCCATACCATTTTCAAAGAACGCAGGAGCTGTTACAAGCGGACTATGATCTACGTTTGGCATGTTGCCGCTGGTACCGCGACCAGGTTGGGAGGTCTGCCGACTTCGCTTCGTCGGTACTGTGGACAGACGAGGCGTCATTTACGCGTGCGGGCATTATCAATATGCATAATGAACATTTTTGGACTCATTTGAATCCCCGCGTATCAAGGGAATCAAATTTTCAACACCAGTGGCGGATTAACGTGTGGGCTGGTATAATAGGTTGTGCCGTCATCGGTCCAGTGTTTTTGCCGGCAAGTCTGAATGGGGCCAATTATTTAAGATTCCTAACAGAAGACTTGGATGACGTTCTGATGGCCCTGCCAGTGACACAATACGTGAGACTCGTGATGGAACACGGGATGACTTTCTAGCACGATGGAGCACCCGCACATTTTGCTCGAAATGTACGTTCCCATCTGAACGACCGTCTCCCGCAGTGGATTGGGCGGGGAGGTCCTGTACCCTGGCCAGCGTGGTCCCCAGACTTGACACCGCTCGATTTTTTTTGTGGGGTCATATAAAAATATTGTTTATGCGGAGTCCTGTGAAAGCGCAGAAGAAATGAGGCAGCGGATCGAAATGGCGTTTAGTCAAATCACTCGGCAGATGCTTCAAAGAGTAGAGCAGTCTCTGTACCGACGCACGGAAATATGCATATTGCATGGAGGTCGGCATTTTGAACCTTACCTGTAAATGTGTGAAATGTGCCAGCAGTGCGTGTAGTGATTGTACTTATTATTCAAAATTATCGTAAACAAGTCAATATTTCGTACATTGTACAACAGTGAATTACAATTCGTAGGAAATTCATTAAAACGTGTATGAATTGCACAGTAGGTAAGTACCAATTAAAAAAGTATCCACTATTGTAAAATTGTCGTAAATAAATGTATTAATACAAAATTATGTAGAATGTGTATACGATGAAGGCGTGCGTAACTACGGGCTTAATAAGTAAATAAATATCCTTTAAACTGTATGTAAATAAGTACGTACCTAGGTATGGTATAAAATAATATTGTTAGAAATAATTCGATTTTTCTAGGTATTTAAAGATTTTGTTACTTAATATTAACGTGTTATCAACATATTCAAATCATGTTTTTACAGTGGCATTTCAATTGTAGTCAGCTGTTCTTTCGCCCCGCTTGCGGCCGCCCAGGTTTCATTAATGAATTTGTGAAGTCGTATACCCTGTTTCAAATGAATTGAGAGTAAAGGTAAACATTGAGTGCATTGACCCGACCATAGTCGGTTTAGTGATGGGCAATTGTAGAGTAATTTACTAATCAATTATTGAATGAATCAGATCGATCAATTGAATCTGTTGGACTAACATCAAGTGAATTCCGCGCATTTGACCGTTGTAAATTGATTGAAGATGATACATATAAAAACGTTTCTTTATTTACGATTATTGACATTTATTGTTTAAAAGTTAGAAGCTATCAGTTAAATACAGAAAATTATGAAAATACTTGATAGTTAACAAGTCGCTAAATCGTTTGTAAGCGGTACAGAAATAAGAGTTGGTCAAATGACTTCAAGACGTAAGTTTCTGGTGACTCTTGAGGCAATCACTTACTCAAACTATGATTCACTCAATTGAACTTTTTTCCGTACATCCTTATGCAACCATAGACATTCTAGACTATGGATTGTCAAATCAATCTCAGTTTTCGGCGAAGATTTTTCAATTATGATTTTATAATGCATAACAAACGAATATTGTTGGAAAAAGTGGTGAGATATCTAGTGGAAACCTACAAAATACACATAAAAGTGTTACTTATTCCATATAGTGAGTGATTTCTTCAGAATTTTAACCCAACTGGTTTGTTTACGTTTACTCTCAATTCTATTGAAATAGACTATAGTAACGTAACTAGCAATAGAGTTGTGACGCAGTGGTTGTTTCGGACAATCACTATTTATACAAACATAATTAAAGTTATATCAACATTAAAAGTCACTTATTTTTATTTGATATTTTGCACAGAGGGTCTAGATCAAGTATAGGTTTGGCTCCTTTAATATGACTACACCTTGCGGTTACACCCTGTATATAAGAATACGTACTTGAAATATTTAAATTTAATTTGTTAAATTCTATTCAATTTATTTTTTAAAGTCTCGACATTAAATATTATTTGTTTGTTTTAATTTGTAAATTAGCTTTAAGAGTTACTATTGTGTTTGGATTTATCTGTAAGCAATATGTAATATAATAATAATAAATAAATAAATAAATAAACTTTTTTTTCATGTATTTAATTTTTCCACTCTCCCTCCACGTTAAATTAGTACAATATTACAAATGCAACTATAATCAAATGAACCGGAATGGTATTATTGAAGCGTGTACATTACCCCTTACATGAATTTGAGACTTTGGGAAGACGCTGTCAAGAATAGCCAGTTTCTTTTTTACCCCTTGTAGTAATGTTATGTTTATCACTATTTTTCTTAACATAAATTAAATTTTCAGTTTACTATAATGCTAGTGTAAGAATGTTAACTCTCTGTCAAGGACACTCTTAGGCCCAGATTGTAAATAGCCCTAACCACACGTTTTTGCAAACAAAGATTCGTATTACAATTGCGGCATATTATCCCAAAACAACAAGCCGTTGACCTACTGCTTCTCAAGCAGAGTCCGTGTCCGTTCGAATCTGAGCTCACACCTCTCGAGTTTCTCGGAATTCCCGTGCAAAATTTAATTTGAAATTCACCATGCGTTTTCAGTGAAGGAAAACATCGAGATGAGGAGACTCGTGCCCAGCAGTGGGACGTATAAATTGGTTGATGATGATGATACCGCAAAACAAGATGTCTTCCAGAACTTATTTATTGTTAAAGAATGATATGTACAGTTGTTTAGAAAATATATTTCTAATACTCTGGCTTTTAATAAGTCATTTCTCTAACCACTATACACAATTTGACATGTCTCCTTCTCGTTATACCAAATGCATGAAAAGCATGCAATTCTCCAACTGAGCCATCACTGTATTTGATTAAAAATTCTTTTATTTTCAGCAGTTGACATAATCTGGAACGTAACAAGATGAATTGTAAAGACAATGAATTTTTAGTAAATCCTAGAAACTGTACGACAAAATATATAATATCGCTTGACAATATTGATTTAAATTTGATGCCAATGAAAATATATGAAAACAATATTACATCGTATCAGGAATATGATGAGGAATTCCACTCATTTGAAATTTACACGGAATACACTGGCAGTGCTTTTGACGGTGAGTTTTTTATAATAATATAATAGATTACGTGTAGTTGTATTGTACCTTAAAACAAACGATAAGTATACAATGTGCTTTTTAAATGAGACAATATGGGGAAAAAGAGATACAGGGAAACTGTCTTAGGAACCATTAAGTCTCTTTTTGTGAAAACATAATCAATTTTTTTATCAAATTCGAGTTGTCTATAAAATTAAATTTTCTAATTTTTTAATGCTTATGGATTAAGTTTCTTATAAGGATAATTTAATTATATAGAAAGAAAAAATCGGAACACCAGAAGTTGGTCAAATTGAATAAAAAGTTTTTTATACAAAATAAATAACATTTTATTTCACTTAGTGTACTTCTTATCTATTTTAGATATAAAGACCAGCGTATGCTACATATGTGCGGTAGAAGTGCCAAGAATGTTCTATCAGGAACATTTATCTAGCGCCAAACACAAGATGTTCGCATGTCTAGCTGCAAACACTATGAAACGTCTTCAATTGCAAGTCTTACAACCAATGCCACAGGTAAATAATAAAAATAAAGACATTTCCTGTTTTCATATCAGAAAATATTAGTATTTAACTAATGTTGCACAATCACGAAAACACGACATTATTATAAAAATCCCCCTTTTTTTAATAATACGTGCTATTGACTAAATAAAATACGGTAAGAAAGGCAAGTTGATGCGTTAGGTTGGAGATTATTGTGATTTTGTTATCTTTATATTTTGTTTACAACGATTAAGGCTAAGAACTCACGAAGCGGTTTTGACCCGCGCCCGCTGCGGTTGCGGTACAGCTATTTTATTTCGTGAAATGTGCGACTAAATGTTGCATACAATTCTACATTCTTTGGAGGCCGCGGTCCCGCAACCGCGGCGGGCGCGGGTGAAAACAGCTCCAGCTTCAGCCACTTGCTTGTTCTATTTAATTTAGTTGCACGACTTTCGCATGGCATACTGCTTTTAAATGATATAACTCCATCGAAATAATCGATGATTCCGCCAACGTCAAGTTAAGGAAAGCACGCGTTTATCACTCAGAATTTGACCGGTGAATTATTTTGGTTTTTTTATTAGTACCTTGGTGAAAATTAGGATGTATCCGTAATCGCATGCCTAACTATTTTTGTCTTTGGTAGCTACTAGCGATGCGCGACTTTGCTAATACTAATCATTCAAATGGGCAAATCATTCGCCTAAGTCGAATCCAAGCACAATCATTCTAACTCGAGTCGAATGATCAACAATACCGAATGCCAACGCCATTCTAGTTCTAGTCTAATGATTATTATATCGAAACACCTCATTCATCATATCCATACCAAAACATCTTTGTCCCCGTCACATTTACAGTGTTTACCACTAAATCAGAGAGGGCTAGGTGATCACGAGCAGAAATGAATCTATGGATTAGTACTACTAATTAGTAATGAATGATCATTCAAATCATTCGAATACGAAAATTAGTAGGTTACTAATTTGACATTCGAATGACAGGATTAGCGATTACTAACGAGTCGAATAACGATATCATTCACAATCGCGCATCGCTAGTAGCTACTTCCGCAAAAGAAAAAAGATGGCCATCCAAAGAAGAACTTAGTCTCTATGTAAAATAACTAATGTAAGCGTCTCGTCTAACTGTAAATCACAGTGCACAAAATGCAATCTTTCCTCTGGGGTATGTACTTATCTACCTGATAGCAGACGTTTTAATTCACCCTAACTGTTATTAATTGCTCTTAGACTGCGTTCTGGTCATATTCCATTAAATAAATTTTACTATCTATTGACAAGGGCTGAATCAGCTATATTCCAATTTTGTAACAAGTTCGAAGACATGCTTCATTTAATGGAAAGTGATCGATTTGCGGGCTGCCGAACCCAATGTCAATTAAAAGTCATTGGTCAGGTAGGAGAGGTAAATTTAAGACTGAGCAACTCATTGACGCAGGGTACTGAAGCTCTATACTTGCTTAACTACAGCTCTTTACTTGATAAGGAGCAATACCTCTCATGGGAGTAGTGACAGATAAAGCAAGACCGGTAAGTTATATACATACATTACGAGGCAGACATATACAATCGGACGTTTCAAGCTTTTTCAAAATAGATTTATAAAAAAGTCGACCTAGAATACGTCCAAACATTTAGAACTCGTGAAGTAAATGATACTAAAAACACAGCCAACTTAGGGTGGTGACATTCGTTGTACACGTATGTATATTGTCTTGTCTGCGATTTTGATCTAAGTTTTATTTATTTTGTCACAGGTGGAGCGAACCATTAATTCAATTTACTACTGTGCGTCGTGCTCTATCGCCGTGAAACGTTGTAATCGTGACGAACACGAGCTCTCCACTCAACATATGAACTGTGTGAAAAATGACGAATTGTTGAAACAGCTATCTGATATTATGTACATAGAAAGTGACAACGATAAAATGGGTAAGAATATACATGACAGCCAACATTTGAATTGTAAAACAGATTTGAATGCAACAATGACTGATATTTCAAATTCGAAGATTAACACACTAGATTGTCCAAAACTGGAAACAGTATCTTATGCCAAAACAGTTGCATTACATGTTAATCTAGAAAAAAATAAAAATTGTGATCAACAAATCGGTAATGATGATAAGAAAAATATTACTTATAGTTTAAATAAACATGATGAAAATAAAAATCATAATCTGGGGAAAATTGATAATAAAGTAACAGAATCGAAGGTTCATACGTTAAGCAAAGTTGGAAATAATAAAAATGTACACGATAAAAGTGTGGAAACGATTAAAGTTAAGAATTCTGGAGGGCTAACCAGTGTCGTAGCAGTTGGCAAAACAGTAAATAGCAAAGCAAAAAGTATAGAAACGTTGCAAGTTAAGAATTCTAGAGGGCTAACCAGTGACGTAGCAGTTGGCGAAACAGGAAATAGCAAAGCAAAAAGTGTGGAAAAGATTACAGTCAAGAATTATGGAGGGCTAAACAGTGGCGTAGCAGTTGGCGAAACAGGAAATACTAAAGTAAAAAGTGTGGAAACGATTAAGTTTAAGAATTCTGGAGGGCCAACCAGTGACGTAACAGTTGGCGAAACAGAAAATAGCAACGCAGATAATGTAACGGCGAAGACTCATTATTGCGATATTTGTAATATGGACATACAATATTACAACAGAAAACATATTGCTACACATAAATCCAGTAACGAACATAAAATGGCTTTAGACAAGTACACTAAATTTCTAACCACTTACCAGTTAGTTCCTGCTGGATTCAAAAAAAGTCTTTCAAAGGGACAAAAACGCATGACAACTTCGAACAGATGCAAGCTTTGGCACTGTCTAGTTTGCTGCAATAAAGTTGAAAATCCAAATGATCATGTCCGTGAATCCAGCCATATATTGATGTACAACAAATTATTATCAACAAATTCATTGATTAAACTTCGCTGTGAACTATTTATGTGCAAGTTTTGTGAATGTTTCGTGAAAAGGGGTCAAGAATTGAATCATATAAGTGTAGATGCTAAACATTTGGTTACGAAGCAGTTTCCCAACTTAACTGGATTCGTTAAATATTCTACAGCAAATGGCGACTGTCACGAATCATTCAATTTAGAAAATTCGTATGATTACTCTAGCTCACATTCATCAGTTGAAACATTGAATTCTCCCTTATATTCAAAAAATGAGATAGAAAGTAAAATTTACACCAAAAATACTTTCTCAGATTTAAGATCAAGGTTCTTATCAGATAACGATATTGAAGAAAATGACAAACCACACATTTATTTCTGTACAATTTGTAAGATGGATATTGCTAACAATGAATTCAATATTAAACAACACGAGACAGGCAATACCCACATTAAGAATGCCAAATTACTGGGCATTGATGTGTCTAACCATTTAAATAACACGCCATCAAGTAACCAAACAACAAATCAACAAAATACACGTACCATTTTTAACGATGGAGTTTTTTCACGTAATGACAAAACACATACGCAAAACGTTGAAGATATAATAGAAAAACCCAAAATTAAAATTCCCATTAAAGCTACAGAGTATATTTGTCAAATTTGTAATGTCAAAGTACCAAATGTTGCATTTAATATAAAGATGCATGAGGACGGCAAATTACATAAGAGAAAACTACAAGGTGATTAGCTGGAACTGGGGCACTGCCACTGCGCCCGTTACCCTGAGACATAAGTTGACAAGTTCCATGTGCCTGTAATTTCACCAGCACCCTTACTCTTCAAAACCGGAACACAGTAATGCTGACATTACTGCTTGGCGGCAGAAATAGATAAGGTGGCAGTACATCACTGGACGAACACTTTCACGAGGAGCTCTACTGCTACTAAAGTAGATCATAGGGTCGTATTCCAGAACTCTACTCAATGCTCAAGTCACGATATGAGCAGACTTGAGTATGATTTCAAGTACTGGAAATACGACCTTAATGGCAAGGACTTCAGTATGATTTTCAGTGCTCACTGCAATATTCAAGTCCTGACTTGAGTATTGAGTAGAGTTCTGGAATACGACCCATAGAAACATTGTAAAGGGGTCACTAAATTATAATTCGCGAGCATCTTATTTAGCATACTAACAACAATCTATGTATAAATTGTATATCCTTAAAATAAGCCAACATTATACGCAACATCAACATTTTATACGTAAGAAAAAACCCTCATTCTTTACTCATACTCGTTGAATAGCAGAACCTACAGAAACCCATAAAATTACTAATCAGAAAACTTTACACTGGCGAAATCCTAAAAGCACCGCCAACAAATAAAAAGAAGAAGATACTTATCGATACGAAATCGCTATAAAAACGGTCAGAAAAATCTTTATATCCATGTAATTAGAGCGAAAAAGACATTGTAGGGAAGAAGGGGGCACCATTGAACATTTTTTTCACATCTGGTTGTAAAATCCTAAATCGTTATTATTTATTTGTTTTGTTTGCTGCAGTAGTTAGATCTATTATTTGGCTCCAAGTTTGGCTATTTTTGATCGTGCTTATTATGAATGATTATTCATAATAAGCACGATCAAAATGTTTACCATGCTGTCAGAATTTCCATTTTCGGGAAGGAACTCAAATGTTCAACGTTGCCTCACGCCTGGGGCAGCTTTGAACCCGCTTAAGACACCTCTGAATTCATAAATTTAAATGATAATGGCTTATTTATTGCAAAATATTTTTTGTATTATATTTTATATAAATCCGATATGATTTTTTGACACACAATTATGTATTTACAGTTTCTGATTTACCATTATGACAAATGGCGATTCTGGTCTGGATTTGTTTTAAGCCATTAAATGGACCTTCAGGCAGTTAATCAAGTAAACTTCTGAAGCAGAATGACAAATCCAGGTGCAGCATCTTGTATCAGAATTGCTTACATTATATTAAATATATAGGTTTTTTTAAATTAAAAATGTATGTTTATTTTTATGAAATAAGGGTGATATTAGATGATAAGTTCTTTACGAAGAGTGTAGATGTTAATATGCTATGGATTTTAAGATAGTTTTTTTTTATCGTATGTGATAATACTACAATAGTCATCGACATACCCACCGTTACCGGCGTTACCGGGTAATGGGCGACAGAAAAATGTGTTATAATTATATATTTTTATAAGGGAAATAGAATAATGCAAATCGTTGCCAAATAATTATATTTTAGGTAAAAACTATGTGGTCCAACATACTGGTATACAAGCGCGGCATGCTTGGCTTGGCCAGGGCCGTTGTGTAGTCGTAAGTTTTTAAAAAATCGAGAATTCAATATTAAAAGAGATTTTGCTATAGTGTAATTAAAAATAAGTGCGCATTTCACCTCCATCTCACCTGATGGATGAATGAATAAGGTCGAAGATGTAGTACGCACACCAAAAAAAAAATTATAGAACCAGGGATCTACTATGAGATATTAAGTCAGGTTCACGTGTTAATCTGAAGTTCGTATCATGACGTATTTATATAAACTTGAACGGGAAATTACTAAAAGCACAGAGCGAGACAAACCTGTAAAATCAACTTACGGAAAATAGGCTAGCTGTACCAACCACACTGGAAGTGTCCAAGAACTATAAACCGACTGTGCAAAAAGGGACACGTTGTTTTATATAATAATTTTATTACCTATCAAAACACGTTTTGATATTGGCAACTTTTCAAATTTACAAAATTTGTCGTAGAACAAAATCACATCTCATGTCTTGTCATTCTCATTGAAATAATTTTTAGTTTTAGTAAATAATTTATTAGTGAGTTTGCAATTTGATGACCGAACTCGAACACGTTTTCATTAAATTTTCTTAACTAAAGATATTTAAAATTGAAAGAAATTCAAATTTGGCGCTATTTAAAAGTTACTTTACGGTCTACGTCAAGTGAACAAAATGTACAAATATAACAGAATTAATTACACTGAAATACAATAAAATTAAATACGAAATCTTGTAAAACTGACAAAAACCCGCCATTTTCCAAAGGTTTTTTTTTCTTGGCTTAGTCATTGAGTCACATTTTTTGAATTGCTTATCACTGTTGGGTAATTTTCCGTAAAATTTCAAATATTGGAAATTTTTCCGGATAAATTGTAAAAATTTGAATAATATAATTTCGAAGGCTCATTTATGTTCTACGTTTAGAAATATCTTTTAAACTTGTATAAAATAAACTTGTGTAGCTCGCGCATTCGCGAGAATTCCGCGGAAGATTTTGGCTCTTATCTAATTTGTATGTACATACGTTAGACAACTGCCCATAGAGTTCATTGTGCTATGTACAATATCAATATAAAAATTTGCTTTCATTTCGTAACGCCGCAACATAAATTGAGCCTAAGAAAAAAGGTGAAAGGCTTTTGAATTGTCAACATAAACTGCATGGAATTTGCCTTATTTTTGTGAGATCATAATTCACATTTGACAGGCAACTCAAGCGAGCATCAGACTTGCTATACTGCCTTTGTCATACATAAGTAACGCATTTTGCATTTCGGTAACTTTCGACATTGGCACCTAACGTTTTATTGTAATCTAAAAAAATGTAACTGATTATGTTTCATAGAAATAATTCCACTAGTTTGTTATAATTATTAATACAAAGATCGAACACTTATAAAATGACGTAATACTTTCATAGATTTCTCACAGATGGCGCTACGGCTAAAAACTCGTTGAAAAACCAAATAGATGCATAGAAATCAAATACAGAAAAAACAAAATCCAACAACAAGCACATTGAAAAAATCGTGAGGTCCGCTGGTTCGTTCCGTGGCTTAGTTGGCATAGCTTCTGGCACGGTTTGCTAGAAGACGTCGGTTCGAATCCGGCCGGATCGAAGGAATTTTTTCGTAAGTGTTCCATCTTTGTATTAACAATTATAATAAACGAAACTAAATAAGATATTAGAAAACTGTTTAGAGGTTGTAGACCTCGTTTCGCTGATAAAAAGTCAATTACGTTAGTTATATTAAGGAGGTCAGTATTAGAGGTCATAATAATATACCGGGTGGAAATTTGTAATGCCACCTGGAGGGAAAGTACTCTAAATACTGGAGATAGAAATTTTTACTTAAAGGAAACAGTCCTTTATTTTTTAAAAGAAATAAAGTTGCATTCATAGATTCGAAAATTCCTAGCAACACGCGGGAGTCGAACCCGCTTAAATCTGAAAAAAATGCACCCTGCACTTTTATTGCATCGATCGATAGGGTTAATTATAAGAATAAAATCTCTCTCACAAAATTGGTTAATTAAATGAAGAAAAAAAACCATGAAATCTTACGTATATTAATAAAACGAAAAAAATGGTAATCTGACTAATTAGTTGCTCGAAATGAGCTCCATTTTCTTGGATACACAAATTTAATATTTTAATTTTAACGGGTTCGATTCCCGCGTGTGGCTAGCAATTTTCGAAAATTTTTTAATGCATTATTATTTCTTTTTAAAAATAAAGGAATGTTTCCGTTAAGTAAAAATTTCTATTTCCAGTATTTAACGTACTTTCCTTCCAAGTGGTATTACAAATTTCCACCCTGTATAGTACCCTGACCTAAAATTCCGTGACTTTCCTGGCCATTTGACAACCTTACACTAAAGGTGCGTTTGACAAGGGAATACTTAGCGCAAAACGGGTGTAGAGTTAACAATGGGGTCGAACCCCTTAGATTCCAAATGACACTAGTGATAATTATACAAAGCAACAGTAGTAGTAAGTCATTAATGTTTGTACAATCTGGTGCCAATAAATATTATAGTTTAGTCTTTGTTTCTTATTACACAAATTCCCAACTTTATAATTAATTACTATTACTTCGTATTAATTGGCCAAATTTAGAATTCGATCGAGAGTCTAATATAAAGGCCTTATTCACAGTGGCGCGCAGGCAGATTTTGCCTCGGTCCGCCCGTACTGTTAGGGCACATTTATTTGACACGAATTTCATCGTGCGGTCGAAGAGCGGAGTCCGCGTTGTTTGAATTTGGCCGGGCGGCGTCCGCACAGTTGTATTATACAGAGGAATTTAAATGTTGTTGCCTAGAAAATAGAATTCAGATTCGCCGTTAATGTACACACGCCAGCTTATCAAGCTACACATTGACGTATCTTGTTTCGTTGCAATAGAGGCGATTTTCGAACAAAAATGTATAGTCTGATGTGCCGTTGTCCGTACATGAAGGCGTGGTAACTGGGCGGCGGCCGCGCGAAAACTTTCGCCTTTTGTAACTGGGCGCTAACAGTGCTTGGTCTAGGGTCTGCAATTTCGACGTGTGGATCTAATCACTTCGGCACTGTGAAAGGGAAGACGCCAAGACCCGCGCGCCCGCACTCGCCGCCGCGTCCGCGCCTGTTCTCTGAATGAGCGTGCAAAATATGAGGTAATAATGAATTAATAACGCACACACTGATTGCCTCGCACTATGGAAACTGTATGATACAGTTTCCCTAGTACGGGGCTATCAGTGTGTGTAACCCGGGCGCCATGGACACACACATAGACAACCACAAGTTGCACCCAAACTCACGAGAGAAATAAATGTAGGCCATAAAAATATTTCTCCCAGCCCGGGAATCGAACAGCCACGTAACAATTTATAAGCTAAGGCAGTATTTGATTTACACGTTTTTGGTGGAAAATTTTTGAAGGTACACTGCCTCTGATAACACCGCGCTAGTAACGAAGATAGCTTTGAGAGGCACAATTTATTTTGGAGAAAGAATATTTCTTTGTAAAAGTACCTGTTCTGTTACTCCTAAATTGGGAAACAAAACTGTTCCATGGTGGTTCCATATTTCATGGTACAGTATCAAGAGCACGTTACGCGTGACACTTAAGATTTAAATCCAACTCTATGCCGCTTACGATAAGAACGATAAGTCCAAAGTATCGACACCAGAAAACGATCTTGTCGTATCTCGAAAAATAGGACTTTACACCAAGCCCGAAACACTATTTAAAAACAATTATTTCTCTTTAATTTGAATTAGTAGAAAGTCAATTTTAAAGTACAAACCGAACAAAGCCGAGCAGTAGGTATTTTAAAGGACTATCCACACAAATCTGGGGGTCTACTCTCGATCTCCGTCCGAAACCATTACTGTCAAATAAGTAATATTCGACAAAATTAAAAGACAAGTATCAAGTATGAAGCTTCATTCGCATCACGCGTCTTTTCATTAGGTCAAGTATTGCTTATTTGGCAGTAATTGTTTCGGGCGGATGTCAGACGGAGATCGAGAGTTGACCCCCAGAGCCGTGACCGGGACGTGGACGGAGTGTGCTAGTTTGTATGAACTGCGGGCCCATCCCGGCGCCGGCCCGGACACGGACATGTCATTGTGTGAACGAGAACATACAAAACATACGCAACGATATTTTTTTGAGCCCCTGACGGAGCACGGCCCGTCCACGTCCCGGGTATGTGTGGATAGACCTTAATACCACAACTTACCACTTGTCAAGCTTGTTGAGTTTATTTCTAATTATAGCATAACGTATATGTATAGATATATTTTGACTTTCTTAATTATTTGATATATTTTTAAGCGTAACAATAATAATACAATAAATACTGAGAATGAATAAATGTTATTACATGTGGGAAACATGACCTTTGCTTTCCCCAAATTTATAACCTTGATTTTTGGGGATTTTGAATAATTTGCATTGGCAACGCTGCAAATCGGAGGGAAGAATCAGACGTGTATTTTGTCTACCCGCAAAAGTATAGAGAGCGCACCTTCACACAATCGGACCGGTAATCAATAATCCTCTTTGCCGGTAATAGTCTCGGACGTGCCTTCCGGTAGTCGGATCAGACTATCGGATGGAAAAATCGGACGTATATTGTCGGTGGTGTGAGCGGTGATAAGCAAATAGCGAACTTGTTTCGACAGGTTTTCACAGTGGAGCCACTTAACACTGCCGACAGGGAGCTGTACGATGCTGACACACAAAGTGAGGACCTGGTTATTAGAATCACTGCCAAGGATGTCGCTAAGGCTATCAAGTCAATTTCTAGAGGCAAATCACCAGGTCACGACGGTCTCAGTATCGAGCATCTTCAGCATGCCGGTCCACATCTACCGCGTGTGTTGGCAATGCTTTTCACCCTCTGCGTGGGGCATTCGTATTTGCCGGCCGGACTAATGAGAACGGTTGTAGTCCCTATAATTAAAAACAAAACAGGAGACTCATCTGATAAAACTAACTACAGACCGATCTCATTGGCAACTGTGGTCGCCAAGGTGTTCGACGGTATGCTGAATGAACACCTCAATAAGCTCATCACGCCGCATGACAATTAGTTTGGCTTTAGACCTAAATTGTCAACGGATAGTGCGATAGTGTGTATGAAGCATGCCGTCGGGTACTACACGGCCAGAAGTACGCCAGTGTACGCTTGTTTCCTCGACCTATCAAAAGCCTTTGATCTGGTTTCCTACGACATTCTGTGGAAAAAACTAAGTCAAGCAAAATTGCCACCTGAATTGATCAGCGTTCTAAAGTTTTGGTATGGAAGCCAGGTCAACAATGTGCGATGGGCAGGTGCTCTGTCAGACTCGTACAGGTTGAGGTGCGGGGTGAGGCAAGGGGGGTTGAGCTCACCAACGCTCTTCAACTTCTATATAAATGAGCTGATTGTCGCGCTGAGCAGCCGCCGTGTCGGATGTCATGTGGACGGTGTCTGCTTTAATAACATTAGCTACGCAGATGACATGGTGCTGCTGAGCGCGTCAATAAGTGGCCTACGAGAACTCGTAAATATATGTGAAATATATGCTCATGATCACGGACTTAAATACAACGCTAAGAAAAGTGAAATCATGGTTTTCAAATCTGGGACCAAATGTCCGGCGGATGTGCCTCCTGTCACGCTGGCAGGCGTACCCCTGAAGCGGGTGAATAGTTTTAAATATTTAGGTCATGTGGTCACCGATGATTTAAAGGACGATGCGGATATTGAGCGCGAGAGGAGGGCGCTGTCGGTGAGAGCGAACATGATAGCTCGCAGGTTTGCACGGTGTTCATTTCAGGTAAAATTAACATTATTTCGTGCCTTTTGCACCTCATTTTATACGTGCAGCTTGTGGGTTAGACATACGCGACGGGCGCTAGACTCCCTTCGCGTTCAATACAACAACGCATTCAGGGCGCTGTTGCGGCTGCCCCGCTTCTGTAGTGCGTCGGGAATGTTCGCAGATGCTCGTGTGGATTGTTTCCATACCACTATGCGCAAGAGGGCAACCTCGATGGCACAGAGGATGCGGGCTAGTGGCAGCAGCCTTCTGAGTGTGGTCGCGGGTCGCACTGATGGTCCGTTCATGGGGCACTGGATGTCTTTACATGCACCAGTGTTTCATAAGTATTATTAGGTTAATTGACATAAATGAATGAATCGAAAGAAAAATTGATTTAATTACTTTTAATTTAATTTAATTTTAATTGACTTTTGCCGATTTGTAAATATTCTGACATGTTTTATTTTATTTTGATTTATTTTGTGATATTTTGATTTTGATTTATTTATTGTGTGAATTTCTTTAATTTTAATCTTTTTAGTCTTTTTTGTAATATTGGATGTGACTTATCTGAATAAATAAATGAATTATTATTATTATATTCCCGCACTTAATTATAAAAAGATAGAAAACAAAAATACCTCTTTTAAAAACAATTAAAATTTATTAACATATTCGACTTATCGAAACTTACTCTAAATACCCTGATTTAAAGCATTGAAAATCATAGTGAAGTCCTTGCCATTAGGGTCATATTTGCAGTGCTTGAAATCATAATCAAGTCTGCTCAAGTCCTGACTTGAACATTGAGTAGAGTTCTGGAATACGACCCTAAAACTGGATTAAGGTTTTTTTATGATATTTAAAAAATATTTTGTCACTTAGGCGCGTTTAGTCTTTTGTAGTTAGCGGACGGCAGTATAGCCAAAATGCACAAAAAAATAAATAATAAAATCTCGTTAAATTTATGGTTTCCCAGCGCCCTCTATCTAATTCGAAAGAGAGACATGTCAAAAGAGAGGGCGCTATAGACTACGCATGATGTTCCGCAGGCGGCGCCATATTTTATTATTACCGTGATGAACTAGCAGTGCACTGTTCCGTCTTTGTATTCTAAAGTTACATTTGTTTTTGGTTGAGAAAATTTCATTTTCCCGCGTCTGTAAAACTTTATCGCTATTATTGTGCTATAATCGAGATTTTCAGATTTGTGCTCTGGAAAAATAACTAATTTCAATATATTTATAAAAATAAATGAGGTTATAACGTGTTTACAAACAACGATAATAAAAGGTGACTATAATATTTATTATATTGTGGTATTCTGTAAACTTTAACATTGAATAGAGAATGTAAACACTACGTTATTAATATTTATCGTCGAACATTGTGCTTTGCGTCTATATTATTGCACCACAATTTGTGTAGCGTGATGTTTTGTAGCTGTTAATACGTAAATAAAACTTTTTCATTTCGTTAGGAGATTTTTGCAACTTGTACACATTGGATATTAAACTATTTTCTCGAATCCAAATCACTTTGTTTTTTCAAATAACCAAAATTTAGATCTCTTTGCCGGTCCCATGGTCATTGCTCACTGTGACGTGATCGTGGGAACTGAGAGATGAAAAATAGTTTCATTACAAGTAAACGACACCCTACCAATAACAGGTGCAGTACGTACCACTCATAGTTTTAAGTTGCAGAAATCTGGGATCTGCCACTGCGCCTGTCACCCTGAGACGTACAGCCACCATTCTTTCGAAATTAGTTTTGATTATAGTGACCCTCCTTACCGATCCTTGGGGTATACGAGAAGGGCACTGTAACCTGTGCGCGCACAGGAACCTTATGTGCGTTCAGGTTCTGACCCCAGATCAGCCAGTGTACAGGGTTGTCGCAGACCTCTGTCACTTAACTTCATGCGGTTCTCAAGAGGCTAGTGCCTCGGGTGAGACACCCTGGGAGCACGTACAGTACCGTCCCCATTTAAAAGATATGTACCGGAGCCGTGGGCACGCTCACTATCCATTACGCATTGCACAACTAGTGGTTGCCACCACTAAGCCGTTGACACTAAAGTCCACTACAAATCTCCTCATTGGTGGCAGAGCTGTAAGGCACGCTCACTTCCCGACGCCGAAAAACGACGTCTCTCTAGTTCCCAATAACCTAAGCGCCTTGAGGGACCGGAGGATATCTAGCTTATCCTCTACTAGCTTTCTGGGCTAGAACCGGAGATGCCAGTCGCAGTGTCCTGCGATAATGTCCGGACATAGCTTCCAACTGAAAGGGATACGCACGTATGTTACACATCTCGCTTCAAGCCCTAGCGCACGAGACAAACGCCCCGGGCAGACAAACATGTCCATCTCTGCAGCTCACCACAAACCCCAGCGAGTCCATACCCAAGTTCGAGTCCATCAGAGACGCCCGTGAATGCGTATCACTGGCGGAGGGCTTGGCCCGAATCTCTTCAGCCCGTAATCTCTCGGGTCAGTGGATAGGAACATCCTGAGACGTAAAGTTAACAAGTCCCATATTGACCTCAGATATGATCTCCACAACAGCAGTTTGACAAAGAGGTTTTTCCAAAAAGAAACACATTGCTGCTGCTTAAATGTTGGCGTTCTTGACCAATATTTACTGCCTGTATACTTCGAAACCAACACTGCCCAAACCTAGTGGCCGCCATTAAGAATGTACTACTACCTGTAATTTTAGTAGCAGCAGAACTGCTTGTGAAAGAGTTCATCCTGAGAAGTACTGCCACCTTACCTATTTCTGCCGCCAAGTAATATTAGCAATACTGTGTTCCGGTTTTGAAGGGTAAGGGTGCTGTAGTAATTACCAGGGTGTCAGATCTTTGCGGTTTATTATTTGTGGGTTATGGACAAGTGTGACATTACCATCAGGAGCATGATTTGTTCATTCCGGCACTTGGATGTTATAAAAAACAAAATTTCACCAACACCCTTACCCTTCAAAACTGGAACGCAGTATGTGACACAAGTATGCTATGAGATGATTCCCCCCATCCTGCATAGACTTACCTTACTTTAGACTTACCTTTTAAAGCAATCTATTCAAAAAATATCTGATTCATTATTAAAAGTCACGTAACAAAAGGTGTTCTTTATGATGTTAGTAATATTTTCCTGTGACGTGGTTAGTATTATACAAACAACCACGTATAACTAATAATACTTGGTTATCTACTCATACAAGTGACAGTACGAACAAGTTGTCCGTCTGATGGTGAACTGAACTTATTAAATTACTTTCCAAGTAAATTAATGTGTAAATAATAATCATAGGTAAAAAATTTGCTTGGAGACCAGGAGTCCTGAGATACAGGCTCTCGTAGTATTAATATTTCATTTGTTTTTAATAATTTACTGTCAGAGACAAAATAATAAGTGTGCCAGACAAATATACACCAATAATCTGATTTCACACTAGAGAATTCCCAGCACTCTGAGTATCAGAGACACAGAGTTCACTCCGGAGCACTACTCAGAATCAGTTTAGAAATATGTGAGTGTATTATGTAAGTAATTCATGGGTTTATTCTACAAAATTTATTTTCAGACATTGCTGCAGAATGTGGGATGTAAAGGCGTGTAGGGCCTGCCTTGCCACAGAAGGCAACTTGCAAAAAGTCGGAGTAGCCTCTAAGAGAATATATGCAGCAGTTACTGGACTTGAGGTGAATAGAGACATTTTTTTTAACCCACGATGCAGAAAGAGAGTATCTGAGAATATCTGTTCATCTTCTCACTCAGCCCTACCCGCTAATGGCGTACGGAACTCCATACTGGGAAGGCACTTGCCACGACCACAGGACAAAAAATCTGTCAGAACCAGGAAAGTCTTTCAGTTCTTCAATGCTGTCGGCCTTGGTTCTGAACTGTAATTAGTGGTGATCACACTAGATTAGTTGATTGTCGCAATGATGAGGGTCTGCATATACCCCGAATAAAGACACCCTAATAATAATAACTCGTGTCGTCCTCCTCTATACGGCACGTATTCTTCATCTGAGTCCCTGACCCCGGCTGACTGTGCCATTACCAGAAAATATCGTCTCCCCTATTTAAAAATTCAAAATTGGGACAGGCAAGAGTCTAAAATAGATATCCAATATTATAATTATAATAATTTAATCTGGATGGTTCTACTTCCTTCTCACTTTAACTTAACTGCCTCCTTGGCCGAACGGTAATCATGCTGGACAGCCACGCAGAGGTCCCGGGTTCGATTCCCGGGCCGGGAATATTTGTATT